TATTGCGCTGTTGGACCGACTGGAGCCCAGTTCTCGGTAGTTGCCCTGAAACAGCTTCCCTCCCCCCTTCCTTGATTTATATACTCGTTCTCCAGCTATGCATGGAACAAAGCAGCTGCTGGTCAACCTACTGGTCATCCAAATTTATGCCTACTGGGCTTAATGGTCCACTTGACAGAAGCTCGAGCAAGCTTTGGCTCACGAGAGCCCACGACCAGTAAGGTTGGCCATAAACCGACAGCCCACGACCGGTATTAATCCGAACCGCGGAGGGAAACGGAATGTGATGTCGAACTAGACGAACGGGGTTTTGTACTTCGCCACACCTCTCCACTCTCATGAAAATAAATATAAATGCCCAACGCACGGGCTGCTCGCGCGAAGATGCGTTTTTCGCATAGCTACCCGCAGATTTTTGTCATTAACAGCACTGGTTTTTCCGGCAAGTGCTTCTAGCTAGACAGATTAAGACTGGCTGACAGAACTATCAGGAAACACCCCCTTAAAATTTCAGTCTTGTAGCTTCTCAGGTTCCCGAACTAGCAACTTACCCGAAAAAAATTTTCACGGGCTCCTACGTGGGTACCACGCATACCCGGCGACTGGGTTTGGGCTCACTAATACATACTTGGATAGGGAATATCTCCTTAAAATTTCAGCTTTCCAGCTTCTCTGGTTTCCGAGTTAGCAGCTTGCCCGTAAAAAACTTTGGTGGGCCCGTGCATGGGTACGACGCGGGTAAGGGCGCCAACTTTGGGGACGGGGGCTCGTATATGCATGTAGATTAAGTTCCCAAAATTTCAGCCCCGTAGCTTTTGTATGTCTCGAGATGAAAAATCGGTACATGCAAAAGACAGACAGACAGACACACACACAGACAACCCCTCGTTAATACGCGTTTTCTGCATTGCATAGCTGCAAAAAATGCATAGAAACTAAAATACGCATGAGGCTAAAAACGGCAGTCTGGGAAATACTTTGAGACTATTTATAGTATTAACGATGTGACTGCCTCAAATTTAGCGCAAAAAGACAATCGCACGGGCAAACTTGGTATGTTGGTATACCTGATTTTATGCGTTTTTGCTATGCAACGCTATGGCACTGCTACAGCCCGCAAAAACGCATATTGTCGAGAGGCTGTCTGTGTGTGTTTGTTCGGGAAGCGAGTGCAT